CTACTTTTGAAATGTATGATCATTGCAGAGAGCATCCCAGTCAGCATGTAGGTCTGAAGCCCACACTGTGCCTCCTTTGCTGAAGCACATGTATGAGAACATCTCATATAAGAATACCTTTTTTTCTGTATGTGTGCCTTTAAAAAAAAAAAAAAGACATTTACTATCATCCCTTTTGCTGAAATGAGGAGTTGATTATTAGATTCTCTAAAACTTATTTAAATACTTGAGGCCCGATGCACAAATTCATGCATGGGCGGGTTCCTCAGCCTGGCCAGTGCTTGGGACCAATAGGGGAGGGGGATGGAGATAGCCCACCCGGGGTGGGGGAGAGGGGCCGAGGGAGGTTGGCCGGCTGCAGGAGGTTGGCTGTGGGAGTGTACTGACCACCAGGGAGCAGCTCCTGCATTGAGCATCTGCCCCCCTGGTGGTCAGTGTGCATCATAGCAACTGGTCAGCCGGTTGTTCAGTTGCTTAGGCATAGATAGATAGATAGATAGATAGAGTACCTGTTCTCTAAATATTTAGTGAAACATGACAAGTTGCTTTAATGGAGATTTGTGTGGAGTTATCCTGACTCTGCTCCGTTTCCATGTGAAACAGAGGTGACCTTTTTGCCATCCCCACACAGCCTCTCGCTGTCATTCAGGCCCTGGCTGCTTCCCCACTGGCAGCTGGTCAGGCTGTTGCTCCAGGAGCTCTGATGATTGCAATTAGAATGTCCCAGTTCCTTCCCAGGTAAAGCCTTCCGTGGAGCCTCCTGGGGAGCCAGCCTCTCAGGCGGTGCCTGGAAGGGGACTGTTTCCCTTACATGACGTACATGGAAGCTTTACTCTGCCCACTTTTACACCTACACATGTGCTGAGCGTCTCCATGGAGACAAGGAGGCCGGAGTCCAGGGATGGTGTATCTCCCAGGAGACGGCAGGCAGCCCCCTCCCTGAGGCTCCACCAGGCGGCCTCCCCCCACTGCCCCTCTCCAGGCACCATAGCCGAGCTGCCTCTGAGAGCTGGCTGTGGTGAGCCTGGTGGGCAGAGGCCTCCCTGACAAAGGGGTATGGTCCTTGCTTTGTGCTCACTCATCAGCTGTGTCAGTGTACCACAGCCCCTGTGCCGCTTAGACACGAAGGCACCCTTATCCTCACAAAGTGCCCGCAGAGCCTGCTACTTGCTACAGCTAGGAGCTTACTTTAGTCAGGTTGTTCTTCTACGAAAAGCACTACTGCTGCTGATCCACCAATTTCATGTGCCCACTCATGACCCATGACCCTGGCACTCTTTTTCCCTCTCCTGAGTTTGATGCATGGGATCCTCCCTCCACACCACCTCACCTTTCTCCCCCTATCATGTGACTATAGCTCCTTAAAGTGGAAATCATTCTCTCTTACTAGAGGCTCGGTGCATGAGTTTGTGCACCAGTGGAGTCCTTCGGCCTTGCCTGCGGGATTGGGCTGAAACCAGCTCTCTGACATCTCCCAAGGGGTCCTGGATTGCAAGAGAGCACAGGCCAGGCCAAGGGACCCCACTGGTGCACAATCAGGGCCAGGAAGGGATGTAGGAAGTTGGCCAACTAAGGGAGGGATCGAGAGAGGGCTCCAGGATGTGTCTGGCCCATCTCACACAGTCCTGATCAGGCGAATCTCAGCAGCAAGCTAACCTACCAGTTGGAGTGTCTGCCCCCTGGTGGTCAGTGGGTGTCATAGCAAGCAGTTGAGCGACTTAGCATATCATTACCATGTTATGCTTTGGTGGTTTGAATGGATGATTTGACACTTAGTATATTAGGCTTTTATTATCTATATAATAAAAGGGTAATATGCTAATTAGACTGGGTGACTGGACATCTTCCAGATGTACAACTTCCTTCTGGACCAGGCCAGCAGAAGGTACTTGGGGGGTGACCAGGCCAGCAGAGGGGCTGTTGGGGGGGAGCGAACAGGCCAGCAGGGGGGCAATTAGGGGTTGATGGGGCAGGCAGGCAAGTGGTTAGGAGCCAGCAGTCCCGAATTGCAAGAGGGATGTCCTACTGCCAGTTTAGGCCCAATCTCTGTGGGATCAGGCCTAAACCAGCAGTCGGACATCCCCCAAGAAGTTCATGATTGGAGAGGGTGCAGGCCGGGCTGAGGGATCACCTCCCTTAATTTATGCATGGGCCTCTAGTCCTATATAATAAAAGGCCAGCCACCATAAGTGTTACGACTGGAATGTCCAGAGACCAGAACCACCATGGCCTCTTACAGGGCTGGCCCTGCCCCCAAGCAAGTGATTACGGTTATCAAGTAGGCAGTTGATCCCTTGCAGGGCTGGCCCAGCCCCCTGCAAGCAGTTAGGGGTGATCAGGTAGGCAGGCAAGTGGTTAGAGGTGATCCAGTAGGCAGGCCAGCAGTTAGGGCTATCAGGTAGACAGACAGCCCCCTGCAGGGCCAGCCCCGCCCCCAAGCAAAGAAAGAGGGAGGCCCAGGCCATTGGCCAGCGACTCTGTGGCAGGTGTGCAGCAGGCCAGCGATTGCCCCGCAGAGGGAGGCCCAGGCCAGCCAAGCCATCGCACCCCACACCTGTCGCCCACAGAGGGAGGTGACTGGTGGCAGGGAGGGGGGCAGCGCTGCACAGATGGCAAGCCATGGCAGCAGCAATGGTGGGGCCAGCTGCCTGCAGCTGGGGAAAGGAAAGTCTGATAAGCCCTGATCTTAGTCCTGGCCTAGGAACCCGGATTGTAAGACGGTGCAGGCTGGGCTGATGGACTTCCACTCCCCCACCCTCAAGTGCATGAATTTTCATGTACTGGGCCTCTAGTGTAGGATATAAGTGCACAACATAGACTCTAGTTTCAGACCTTTTGTACGGTGACCAGGTACACTGTGTGTGTGTCTTCCTGGAGGCGCACATGACAGTCATATTGGGGAAGACACTGGGAAATCTTGTTTCTCTCTCAACTCTGGGCACCTGCTTTAGTGAACATTCTCAACACCTTCCGTGTGCACTCACCTGGTTCTCAGCTAGTTGACTGAAGTGAAACATCGCTTCTCATGTGATTTTCTCACTCAGAGTCTCCAAACGTCAGTCGTCTGGTCTTGATCCTGCTGCTGGCTGTGGTTGGCTGGTACTCTTAGTAAATTCTTCAATAACAAATATCCCCAAAAGGATTTACCAGTGATACCTTTTCTTTCTTCCTTCCTTCCTTTCTTTCTTTTTTTCTTTCTTTCTTTCTTTTTTTTTTTTTGAACTTTTTAAAAAGATGGGTCTTGATTTACAGAAAATCCTAATATATTAATATAAAAAGCCAGAGGCCGTCATGACCTAAACAACCAGACAGATGACCAAAGAGCAGGCTGTGTTGGGCAACAAGACCTGCAGGGGCAGTAGTAAGGGACAACCGAATGAGTGAACAGTAGGCTGTGTGGGGCAACCAAGCCGGCAGAAGGGCAGTTGGAAGCGACCAGGCTGGCGAAGGGGGTGGGAGGTGGCGGGGAGGAGATAGTAAGTGGTGACCAGGCCAGTGGGTGGGCAGTTGGGGGGTGACCAGGCTGGAAGGAGGGGGCAGTAAGGGGTGACCAGGCTGGCAGTGAGCAGTTAGGGGTGACCATGCCAGCAAGGGGGTGCCATTGGGGACAACCAGGTCAACAGGGGCGTTTGTTGGGGGCAATCAGGCAGGCAGGTGACAGAAGCTAGCAGTCCCAGATTGTGAGAGGGATGTATGACTGCTGGTTTAGGCCCAATCCCTAGGATTGGGCCTAAACCAGCAGTCAGACATCCCCCAAGGGGTCCCAGATTGGAGAGGGTGCAGGCTGGGCTGAGGGGAACCCCTCCCCCCCAGTGCACAAATTTTACACACTGGGCCTCTAGTGTAGTCAGTAATATTGTACTCACTTTGCACAGTGATGGGTGGTGACTGGACAGAGCATGATGACATTAAGTACAAATGTAGCACCACTATACTGTGTGCCTGAAGCCAGTATATGTTGTATGGCAACTGTCCTATAAACAGACGGAGTGGTCAGTGATTTAATAATAAAAACCTAATTAAATCACACTCTGCACTTCGGAGGACTCTCCTGTTTCCCTTTTGCTTTATCTCCAACTCATATCACTGCTGTAGTTACTGCCTTTAAGTAAACACCCTCCTATGGGTGAAGCCATAGACAGTCATTTGTAGGAGACAAACCAGCTTTATCCACAGGTACAAGATGTGCCCTTTAAGTTGAGTTAGAGGTCAAATGTGAAAAGTCCTCCCCTACACAGTCCACCGAGGCCTCCGTCAGTAGAGCTCACCCATTAGGCTTCCTTCCCAAGTAACATTTCCATTGTGCATGCGCCACGTAACTCTTCCTCTGTCTGGTCTCAGAGGAGGTGAAAGTGCTGCTTTCACCTTCAGTTCCCAGGCTCCCCAAGAGGAATTGGAGGAGGGGAAGGTGCCTTGTCTTGGACGTTTCTGTCTTTGCCAGGAGCTTCCCAGCTGCTCCCTGCCAGCCTCCCTCAACAGCCTCATCTTCCCTGTTCCACGTTCCGTGTTTGACTTTCGGTGGGAATAAAATGTCTGCTTAGGTGGATTGCTATGCCTACTCTGAACTCTGTGAACCTGACTAAACCTAAGAAAATGTCCACAAATTCAGGAATGTTTTTCAACTTAGATGGGTGGAAAGTTTCGTTTGCTGTTCCATTTGCCTGGAATTGGGAAAGTTGGCATCTTGTTCTCTCCTGCCACCCCTCCCCCCATATATTTTTATTGATTTCAGAGAAAAAGGGAGAGAGAGATAGAATCATCAATAATGAGAGAGAACCATTGATTGGCTGCCTCCTTCATGGCTCCTTGACTGGATTGAGCCCGCAACCTGGGCATGTGCCCATGACTGGAATTGAACCCTCAGCCCACAGGCTGATGCTCTATCCACTGAGCCGAACTGGCCAGGGCGGATCTCGTCCTTAAGTGCCCCCGTGGAGTCCGTGGTGCAGGCTGCTGTGACCTGGGGTAACGGAGACCTTTTCTTCCACTCTTTCTTGCAGGCTCTTCAGGTGGCAAGACAGCTCCTCCTCCAGCAGCAGCAGCAGCAAGTTAGTGGCATCAAGTCTCCCAAGAGGAATGACAAGCAGCCAGCCCTGCAGGTAACCGTTCTTTCTAAAAGTACCTGGGGGTGTGCCGGAGGGGAATCAAACCGGCATCCTTTCAGTATCCCGGCGAGCGTGCCAAATGCCTGAGCCACGCAGGGAGGGCTAGGTAGCGCTTCTTTTAAAGGAAAATGACGTTTTCCACGTGGACAGCCACTGGCCAGGGGGCTGTGTGAGAATGGCAGCGGGCCCTCTGGGCAGGTGCCGCTGGTCCCAGCCGAGTGTGACGCTGTCGGGAAAGGTCTGTTCAGCCAAACGTGGTGGCGTTGGGTGAGACCCGCTGGTGTCGGGACTGTAGGCCGATGCGTGGAAGCAGGTCGGTGCTTGGGCGCTTGCTGTGAGAGGGTCGTGGTGCTCAGATGCATCGCCACATTCTCTGTCGTCAGTTCTAGACAGCCACAGTCTTTCATGACGGGGTGCCCGCATACCTGCTTCAGTGCGGGGGGCGGGGGGGGGTTCCCAGGAGACGTGTGTAGTTTTCACAGCTATAGGGCAGCGTCAGTGCGGCTGGCACTGGCACGTAGGAAGCAGAAGCAGGGATGCGGCTGGACACCCTGCATTGCTCAGAAAAGTCCCCCACACAGCACTCTTCAGCCCAAATGTCATCAGTTTCAGGAGCCATTGCTGAACGAACTGAGAGGCTGTTAATACACCTGGTCAAGGATGTCAGACACACTCATTTCTTGAGTGGATGTTTTCCACATACTTCTGAATTATTCATAAAAAGTGGTGAGCAGTTTTTATTTTTTTTATTTATATTTTAAATATATTTTATTGATTTTTTTTACAGAGAGGAAGAGAGAGGGATAGAGAGTTAGAAACATCAATGAGAGAGAAACATCGATCAGCTACCTCTTGCATACTCCCTACTGGGGATGTGCCCGCAACCAAGGTACATGTCTTTGACTGGAATCGAACCTGGGACCTTTCAGTCCACAGGCCCACGCTCTATCCACTGAGCCACATCGGTTTCGGCATGAGCAGTTTTTATACACAGATACCAAGAAGTATTGTTTTAGTGACTTCTCCTTTCTGGAACAATGTAGAAAGGGATTGCAGAGTAGAAGGAGTGAGTTCATACAAGTTTGATTTTGATTTTCTATCAGAGTAGATAGAACATTTTAATAGAAACTTCAAAGAGCCTTAACTCGGGATTGACACTCCCGTCTGGAGAGGGTGTGCAGGCCAGGCGGCAGCTGCTGCCGGAGCTGAGGGGGGACGGTCCAGCGTGGGTCTGAGTGGGTTCCCACACCGGACACTTTGGGGCAGAATCTACGAACTTCTGCTGATGGGCAGAGCTCAGTGCTGAATCATTGGGTCACGGGATCACCCCGAATTCTAGATTGTTAGACACTTCTCAGATCGGAGCAAACCGTGGCCCAGTGCACATTCCCTGGCAGCAGCCATCCTCCTGCACCCCCTGGGCAAGCATGGTCGTCTCGCGTGGTGGCACTTTGCCGGGACGGTGGGTCACGTTGTTTACCAGCACTTCCCAAGCACCTCCTTGGCAGAGCTTCAGGAGCCCCCTTCCTGCTCAGGACGTTTTAATGAGTGCAGAGCCGGTCCCGTCCAGGTGCCCGCAGGGCTGTGGTGCAGAGCCTGCCGGCAGCTCTGGAAGACGGACTGGGACTGCGCTGACCTTTCAGCTGGGGCCTGTTTCTCCAGATTCAAATAAGCTGAAAGGATCAGACTGGACAGTCTCGTGGTCAGACTGGGCCTGTGCCTCAGAGGGCGGCGGCGGCAGCCACGTGTGATTCCAGAGCAGAGCCCATCGCTGGTGCAGACAGGATCAGTTACATGCACACAGGGAGCCCGTCACGCGGGGGCCGGGGGCTGCTGCTCTCGTTGCCGCCCTCGGAGCCCTCTCAGCCCTAAGAACAGGGCCTCAGCCTCCGGGTGGCGGGGAATCGCTCTTGGGGTGGACACCGGACAGCCGAGCTGTTTAGAGATGTAAGGAAACAGCAGGCACACGTCCGGGCGGCATGGGCGTGGATCGCAGTGTGGAACACCATTTGTCACTCTTTATACTAGACTGATTTTCCTCATACTTGCTTTAAAAAAAAACTACAGATGGCATTTTTAGGTAACTTCTTTTCCAAGATGAATGAAGCTCCTTCAGGGCTAAATATATGAAGTCAGGTTTCAGGGGTTCCTTTGGAGCTCTGCTCTTGTTGCCTGTTGTAATGTTTCAGCTACAGAACAGTGGGATAGAGCCTCGTTTTTCTTGGCAAGGACAGTGCCAAAGCCACATTTGCTGAGCACTTGACTCTGTAAGAGTGGGGCCAGGGGCCGTCTTGATGCTGGCTTTGCTAATGAAGATGTGAAGGCCCTCCCTCCCTCAGTGGGAGACTTGACAAGCAGAGAATTTAGATCAGCTTTAGGAATTGATTGGGGGGAAGAGGGGTGTGTGTGTGTGGTGCGCACGCACGTGTGCAGCATGGAGGACGGCTTCTCAGCAGCCTGGTGTGGTCATGCGGAGTCACTGAGCTTTATTAGTCGGCAGGTCTTCCACAGCCAGGCAGAAATGATAGCGTAGGTCCCATGTAGGTCATGCCTTTATGAAAATACGCACGTGGGCTCCGGAGTCACAGAAGGGGTAACCTGTGTGTGTAAACATGCCCGGGGTGCCTCGCGGCTCGGGACTGAGTGGGAGCCCTTCGGGTCTCGGCACTGTTCCTATTTTCACAAACGACAGACCTTCTGCGTGGAGGAGGTGCACATGGAAGAAGAATTTGATCTGCTGAATGCTTGAGGAGAAAGAAAGCAACCCAAATCCCCAAATATACTGTGACTCATATTTTAAGCATATCTCACACTTCCCTGCTTTTGGCTTGGCAGCACTCCCCAGCCTCACGGCTGGTGATACAAACAAAGGAAAATGGAAAGTTAGAGGCGGGCTGTGTGGTTACTCGATAGAGAGCACAGAATGTCGTCAAACACCACCGATTTGAACTAATTTCAGGGAGATCAGAGTAAGGAGAGAATCGTGTTCTTTGCTACACATATTGAACAAAATCTGAGCTACCACATTCTTGGGTGACACTGTGGTGTGTAGAGAGGACTGATTGAGTGTAGATACTGCTTCCCAAGGTCTTTAAGAATACTCTGCTTACTGGCCTGAATAGCCATATATTTTAGTCTTTAATTTGCTATGCCAATTTTTCATGAATGATACAAATGAAAACTGGCCTCATCTTAAATTCAGAATCGGAATGATCTGAGTTAATTGCATGCAACTCAGTGGACACTTCGCGAACAGCTGCAGTGTGGGGGACGTCTTAGGCGCCCTCAGACACGAGACTGTGGGAGACACAGAGCCTGCCTTCAAAGTGCTTATGGGTTGTAAAAAATTAACAAGTTTTTGCTCCAAAAAGAAAATTATATGTAAGTAAAAATAGTAGGCTTACTTTTATAAATATTTATCTACTTCTGAAGATTGCTTAAACAGTGAAATAAATGCTTAATAGTGCAGGTGTGCTCGTAAGCTAAAAATGTGGAACTTTACTGGCTGAAGATTAATTTGTGAGTAGATGAACAATTTTATTGATCACATTTTGGAACTTTGACCACCATTTCTGGGTAGTAATTCATTTCGGTTCTTTAAGCATTTAGTTGTTGGCATGAGTACGTAAACTGGAAGGAAGTCAAATGACACATTTTCTCCTAAGAAAGGAAAGTGCATGTGGATTCTGGCAGCATGGAGGTTAGGAGAGAAAGTCACCCTGTGTGAGCTTGGTGGGGAGCTGACAGGCTTCAGGCCATCACCGAAGCATTTGCATTTGCACCCTTCACCTGAGAGGTTTCCCTCTGCCTGCCCCTCCCTTCCAAGGCCAGGTCAGGCACAAGCGCCCTCGGCACGGCCCCAGGAGCTGGCCCAGGAGCGCCCTGGCAGCTCAGGACCCGTGAGGACGGACACTGGCTCTGCCTGAGGCGGCGCACAGACCACGCTCAGCAGGTGTTCTTAGCATGTTTTGCAGTTATATAAACATGCTTGAAGCAGCATCTTCGCTTTGCATGGATGCCATATAGAATCTTAGCAGCACCTCCCATCATTCCCATGGGAATGAATTGGTAAGAGGAAATCTTTTAAGAAAACCACAATTTTATGCTGTAGGTAGTAATATGGAATAGTTTTGGAATACTGACCCTTAAAAAACATCCCTATGTAGTGAATTCCCTATGCTCCCCCAATCGCCCTGCAGATAATTCAGGGCAAGGAGCCAAATACTTTTAAAAATGTGTAGAATTAACGTTGTCTACAGGTGGCATCCCTGCCATTAAATTGGTATGAAGTGTTAAAATTTCAGTACCTTGCCGAAACCGGTTTGGCTCAGTGGATAGAGCGTCGGCCTGCAGACTGGAAGGTTCCGGGTTCGATTCCGGTCAAGGGTATGTACCTTGGTTGCGGGCGCATCCCCAGAAGGGGGTGTGCAAGAGGCAGCTCTCTCATCGATGTTTCTAAATCTCAATCCCTCTCTCTTCCTCTCTGTAAAAAAATCAATAAAATATATTTTTTGAAAATTCAGTACTTTTATCAGTTGACCTAAGAGAATCCCAAAACTCTAAAAAGTATGTCTTGATAAGAGACAAGGAAGTAGAAATATTTCATAAACAGTCATTAAATCTTTCAATCACACACCTGATCAAACCGTGACAGCACAGGGGCCCCGCCCCCCAGACAAGCCCTCACCCAGAATCGTGCGTCCAGTGGTGAGGGTTTCACGGACCGGGTTTAAAATCTTTGCTTTAAGAATTTTTTTCCTAAAATAATGTTTTGTCCTTACCTCCCTCCAAAGGTCTGAGTGTGGTTGTAACATCGTGAGCTTGCTCCCTCTTCTGTTTCAGCAGCACAGGGTGACTGTCCTGGGCTGCCAGGCTGCGGCTGGGTGTACTTACTGATAACTCTCATTCCCAGAAGTAGCTCAGATCGGACACTTAATTATATGGTCACCTTAGCTATAAGTATCTAAACCTTAAAATGCAAATTATTTGTCACC